ATATGGTAGATAGATTCTGGTGCAACAACTCACATTAGTATGTCAATGCAGGGTTGCCTGAGTTGTCGAAAATCAAGTGATGGTGAAAGATACATCTATATTGGCGACAGCAAGAAGGTGGAAGTAGAGGCAATAGGAAAATTCAGATTATTGCTAAAGACTGGTTTCTATTTAGATCTTGGTGAGACATTTATTGTACCGTCTTTTAGACGAAATTTGATTTCTATTTCTGTTTGGGACAAATTTGGTTATTCTTGTTCATTTGAAAATGGAAAATTTAGTTGTTTCATGATTCAAAATTGGATGGTTCCGGTTCTTTGTCAGGTTATGATAATCTTTATTTAATTGATACAATTGCTTCTTTTAATGAATCCTTGCATGTAAGTACTTGAGATATAAAGCGAAAATTAACCGACGAGAATTCTGTCTCGTTGTGGCACAAAAGATTATGTCACATTTCCAAAAGGAGAACTAAGAGACTTATGTCTGACGGGATTTTTGACCCTCTTGACTTCACAGATTATGATTTGTGTGTCAACTATATAAAGGGAAAACAAACCAATAAAAGGAGATTTCAAGCCAATAGGACTTCGGACGTCTTAGAACTTATACATACGGATATTTGTGGACCATTTCCTACGGGTTCTTGGAATGGTCAACAATATTTTATAACGTTCATAGACGAATTTTCAAGATATAGCTACATATATCTCTTTCATGAAAAATCACTATCACTGAATATGTTCAAAAACTATAAAATCGAAGTTGAGAACCAACTCGACAAAATGATTTAAAGCGTCAGATCTGATCATGGGGGTGAATACTATGGCAGATATAACGGTTCAGGTGAACAACGTCTAGGACCATTTGCTAAATTCCTAGAGGAATTCGGTATCGTCCCACAGTACACTGTGTCGGGTTCGTCCACTATGAATGGTGCTACTGAGAGACAAAATAGAACTCTTAAGGACATGGTGAGGAGTATGATTAATCATTCTACCTTACCAGAATTTCTTTGGGGTGAAGCATTAAAGACCGCAGTGTATATACTCAACAGAGTTCCAACTAAGACTACTGATAAAACCCCATATGAGCTTTGGATGGATAAGAAGCCTAATTTGAAGCATATACATATTTGGGGGTGTCCAGCCGAGGCAACTCCCTGTAAGCCAAATGAAAAGAAACTGGACGCAAAGACCATCAGTTGCTATTTTATTGGATATTCTAAAAGGTCCAAAGGTTACAAATTTTATGATCCCACGACTAAGGCAATTTTCGAGACAGGAAATGCTAGATTATTTGAGGATGTTGAGTTTGCAGGGGAGAAAGGCTTACATGTTTTGTCTTTGAGGAGGAATATGTTAAAATTCCTCCAATTGCCATTGACAATGATCAGGTTCTATCCCCGACGTTGTTCAAGAAGCAACTCCGGATCAAGAAATTGTTTAAGAAGCAATTCCGGATCAAGACAATGTTATATCTCCTCTCAAGATCAACAAATTGTTCTAGAAGAACAAACTTTACAGCCTCAAGAGCTAATGTCATTAAGAAGATCCACTAGAGAGAGGAAAATCGTGATTTTGGATGATTACATCGTATTTCTCCAAGAACATGAAGTTGACATTGGAATGGCAAAAGATGATCCGATCAACTTTCGTCAAGCCATTGAAAGTTCTAACTCTCAAAAGTGGCTTGATGTCATGAATGAAGAGATAAAGTCCATGAAGGACAATAACGTATGGGACCTCGTTCCATTGCCTGAAGATGCGAAACCCATTGGTTGCAAATGGATATTTAAGACCAAGAGGGATTCGAAGGGTGATGTAGAGAGGTATAAGACTCGTCTTGTCGCAAAGGGCTTTACACAGAAAGAAGGCATCGATTATAAAGAGACTTTCTCTCCGATTTCTTTGAAAGACTCTTTCAGAACTATAATTGCATTAGTAGCGCATTTCGATCTTGAGTTAAATTAGATGGATGTTAAGACAATGTTTCTCAATGGTGATATTAATTAAACAATTTATATGGTACAACCAGAAAACTTTGTATCGGATGATGCAAAGCAAATGGTTTGTAAATTAAAGAAATCCATCTATGGACTCAAACAGGTGTCTCGTCAATGATATTACAAGTTTCATCAAGTGATCATCTCGTTTGGTTTTGAGATGAATTTAGTCGATGATTGTATCTACTACAAGTTCAGTGGGAGCAAGTATATTTTTTCTGGTTTATATGTCGATAACATATTGCTCGCCAGCAACGATATAGGCTTATTGCACGAAATCAAGAAATTTCTAGTAAAGAACTTTGAGATGGAAGATCTTGGTGACGCCTCTTTTATATTGGGAATTCAAATACACTGAGATAGTTCTCGGGATATTCTTGGATTATCACAAAAGAACTATATCAAAAAGGTTTTTAAAAGATATGGCATGCAAGATTGTAAACCAAGTGACACCCTTGTGGCTAAAGGTGACAAGTTCAGTGTAAGTCAGTACCCTAAAAATGACTTGAAAATTAAAGAAATGCAGAAGATTCCTTATTCCTCAGCTATAGGAAGTTTGATGTATGCTCAAGTTTGGATGCGTCCAATTATAGCGTATATTGTTGGGATGTTAGGGAGATATTTAAGTAACCCGGGAATGGATCATTGGAAAGCAACTAAACAGATCATGCGGTATTTACAAAGAACAAAAGACTACATGCTCACATACAGGAGATTGGATCAGTTAGAGATCATCGATTATTTTGATTCCGATTTCGTAGGATGCCAAGATAATAGGAGATCCACTTCAGGCTATATTTACCTGCTTGCTGAATGTGCTATTTCCTGGAAGAGAGTTAAGCAGACACTCATAGTTATCTCCACCATAGCAGTTGAGTATATAGCATGTTATGAGGCATCAAATCATGGAATATAGCTGCGTAATTTTGTTACTGGACTATGCATTGTAGACAATATAGAAAGACCGCTCAAGATATTTTGTGATAATAAATCAGCAGTATTGTATTACAATAACAACAGAAGCTCGACGAAGTCAAAACATATAGAGATCAAGTTCCTGGTTGTTAAAAAAAGAGTTCAGAGTAGACATGTATCAATAGATCATATTGGAACAAACTTCATGGTTGCGAATCCGCTTACTAAGGGATTGATACCTAAAGTCTTTCATGAGCGCGCTGCTCATATGGGTGTAATGTCTCTTGAGGATATCTGATTTCAATGGGAGTTTGTATTTTGCTTTTCATATTGGACACATGTACTGTTATTTTAGATATAGTTTATGGTTAAAGTTATTTTCAGTTATAAAGTTATTTGGTTTATTATCTCTGAACTTATTTAAAATGATCTCACTAAGATATTAAGGTTGACCAGTTGGAAATAGGCATGTTACAGATCACATCACATGTAATTTCTATGCTACACATCCATGCTTGATCCATGTCATTCGATTATATTGATATACATGACTATTAATGGGTTTAGCTACAATAAAAGTATTGAAAGCTGCTTTGATTCTATATTGATATGATTGATGGACGGGATTGTTTGGTGTGCATTCAGTAATGATAGCAAAATTCTGATTACTCATAAGGTTATGTTTAATGCACAATTATAAGGTAACACATATAGTCCAAGTGGGAGATTGTAAGGATTTTTAATCAATAGATAAGCTTATATGTGTGAATAATTGTGTGTTAAATTAAAGGCTATTCTGGTTAAGCCCAGTTAAAAGTAATCTAATAAGGCTTCAATTTTGGGCCGTTATGCATCCAATTAAAGTGTGGGTTTACATATGTGCACAGATCGAGCCCAAGGAGCCCAAGACACGTAATTCAATGATAGGTCGAATTAGGTCAAAGGGTATCGTTATATAAATACAATTATGGTCCCCAAATCGCAGGTAAGTATTATTTATTCTCTTCTGCAACCCATGACAAAAGGAGACTACGTGTAAATTTGGAAGACTAAGCCACGAGATTCGTCTATTGCAATTAATCATGTCTGATTCAAGTACACTTCCGTTAGAATTCTTGAATTTCTTGATGATCCAACATGAAGATCCGATGATTTAAAATAATAAATCATCCTACATATAGATCCTCTCTAATTCGACCTTCATTCAACTTTAGTCATCTATGGACCATTGTTGTACAATAAGTTTTTTTTTTTTTTTTTTTTTGGGTAAATCAAAACGGTAATGAAAAAACACAAGAAAAGAAATATATAATAATTGTAAATTTTCTAAAAGTAACTCTTAAACATAATCACTCGTGCTTTTTATATACTAGGAAAGTAGTCGGGAATCCTCATCTGTAGTGTTTTCAAAGTTTGCCTATGCTTTCAAGCATTGGTAAATTATCTCTGTACAACCATTCTTGATTAGACGTCTCCACATGATTGTGTATTTGGCACATGTCAATGGACGGAAATTGTTATTCTAGATTTTAAATTTGGGTAGTTGTATTGACACAACATCTTCTATTGCACCACATTTTAATTGTATTATTGGCCCCTAATCCCCTAATCTTTATTCGTTGTTACATTTATGTTCTTAACTTTTTTCATAACATTCTTATTATTAACCTTTCATCAATTAGCAAATCTTGTCCTTAATGACGATTTTCATTCAAAAATTTTGTTGTTATGTTTTAACAAGATGGACAAGTTTTTGCGTATTAAATAAATGACGGGTAAATAAATCATTTTATTCATTCTTAACTAAAATTTTGACAGAAATCATTATCAAAGAAAAGATATACTAATTAATGAAAGACTCAAAATAAGAAACAATAAAAAAAATTGGGGATTTAAGTATGACAATGACCGAAGGTAATGAACATTTCATGCAATTAAAATGTGGTGCACCTATAAGAAAATGTTGGCTATCTTAAAAAGACTTTTATGCCCCTAAATGTTTGCATAAGAGTAAGTATACCATAATAGAAGAAACCCAAATATGTCTCCTTATATATGTCACTAACATCAATAAGAGGGCTGTAGCACTTCAAATATGACATCTCATTCAAGAAAAGAAAAATGAACAAATGGTAACAGAAAAAAGTTTATGACCATTTACCTATTTTAACAGAACAAGTGCAAGATAATTCACTAGGTTTTATACTTCAAAACAGAGCCATTGTATCATGTTTAACACCAGTAAATAATCCACCCACAGACAGTCCAGTTCGATCATGTGGGAGTGGGACTCGGGGCTTCCCCGAATGCCATCCTAGTTTTGTTTGGATCGAGAGATCACAGGAACCGTATGCGAACATAGGCTTCATCAAGGTGAAAATACAAAAGCTCGAGTTTTTGAGTTATGCTACTCAGTAAATTAAAAAATCAAATAAATATAAAAGCAAAAGGTTCTTCTAACATTGCAAAATAGACTCAACAAGCTCATAAAGAGGTGCAAGCTCTCCCTTGTCGATTAAGTGGAATTCCTGCATTAAGAACAATCAAAGAGTCAATGCTGTTAAATATTTGACGAAATGATAAAAGAGGACTTGAACAACCTAAAATTCAAAGATTTAGCAACGGACACACATTACATTGACAAAATTTTAGAAGGAAAGATAAAAATGGAAGAATTTTCAGGGGAAACACTTCATTTGTATTAATTAAATACAATATACAAAGCCCCCAAATCAACATTTACATTCCAGATGCCATTAAGCTACTAATATCAAGCAATGAATTTGATTCCTACAAGTAATAAAAAAGATAAATTTAGTTGGAGAAAATATCATTTTCACAAGTTGCAAACTTGTTCCATACACGACATAGAGTGGAAGTTCTATAAACCGATAGGAAAAAAAAAAACGGCCAGTGGTTTCAACCCCTCTCCACAACAACATTCCACAAACTGCAGTCCCCTCAAATCACAAATCTAATAAAAACGAATCTTTTTAACACTTTAGTTATTGCTGCTTATAATAGTGTCATAGTTTACAAAGTATACATTTTCCATTCCGGTAGAATTCGTCTATATTTGATTTCCTCTCATATTAGAAGATAAATAATAATTGGAGAAAAAAGGAATTTCACAATTTCCAACTTGTTCTCTTCTACATAACATGCCAGAGTTTCGCAACAGTTAAAAGAGAGCCAGTGGTCTTGAAACTTTGAAACCCTTATGGAGCAGAAATGGCTGTAATTGTATAGACTGACTTGGAGTGATCAACTATGCAAGAGTACACATAGAGATGCTTGTCGAAATGCAGATACTTGCAAAAGTTAAGAATTATTTAAATGCAACCAACAGATGCAGGCAGAATAGGACAATGAAGGCGCTTGGTATTGCAAGTGTAGGAGCACAGCTTGCTTCTAATTGAGAAAACTTAATAGAACGGAAGCCTTAATGTAGGACAGAAATTCAGCAAAGTACATTGAATTACGAATAGTAATGCATCAAAGACACAGTGTCCATATAAGCATTCTGAATTTAATAAACTTACCCAAGTAAAGAGAACAAAATGCTTAAAGCAAGTATTCAGATGAGCTTCTTCCTTTAGACTCACAATCTTCTGGAAATGTGAATGGTAGATATGGGCATACACGCGAAACAACCGCTTGGATATGGTTTTCACAACATCCTGATAGTTGGGTGGAAATGGTGCAGCTGTAGAAAATCAATTATTAGTACGAATGGTGTCTTAATCAAGAACATAATGTCAAAAGAGTAAAATAATTCCACATACCCAACTTTTGGGGGAAAATGGACTCATCATCAAGCTGAGCTTCTATCCAATCCATTAAATATTCCACATATTTTGGAGCAGAGACCTCAATTGGCTGCTTTATGGTAATTCCATCAGCCCATCTGTATTCGTACCTGTAGAAACCAAAGTTTGTAAAGAAATTGTTGTGGATGCAAATATGCCATAATTTTATAAAATAGTCGAATTGAAATGCACATGACAATACTGTAAAAATAAAAGAATTAACAGGGTATTTACAAGGGTTTATTTGTGATTCTTTAACCTGGATAGTTCTATTGAAATTTAAAGAAAAATACCTAAATGAGAATCAGATAATGCATGAATGATCTCTGCTCCCAATCAGTGGGTCTGAATTAGCTTCAGTTGGGGTCAATGAACTCTCTGAAGTTTCAAAAATATAGTATGACTTCATGAAACGTTAATAACATTCAGGCACAAGTCCTAAAGGTGAAACCCACTGGATTTAGAGAATAAAGGGGAGCGTGGACTAATCAAGGGATTATAACTTAATAATTCTGTAAGCAAATATTTATATATAATTTCATATTCCAAAATATTTCATCTATCATGTGATTTTTAATTTCTCTCCTTTCAATATCTTGATAGCATTGTGTACTTTTGGATCCTCACAAGGGTGCACATACACAATGTTCATAAGCACTCATTTTACAAAATTACAATCTGCCAATTGAATAGGTATAATAAAATGGAACCCTCAAAAAAGTATAATAAATGGGAGAAACATGAAGAATAATCATATAAAATAAAGCAAATCAATGCTAGTCTATCCTATCGCTAGTTTATTTAACTTCATCAGTGGAAGAAAAGTACAGTTCCATGATGGATCTCAACCTTGCAACTTAAGTTCCACTGGTACCAAAAAGAGCGAGGCCATGGAGTTGGTTTTGCATGCCTGACTTCTATTTATGAGACACACTGGTAAAGCTTATCGATTTGAATATAAATGCCATACAATTAAATCAATGAGGTTCATACAATTTATATCACATTGTCTAGTTTAATAAACAGGTCAGTCAAAAGATCAAAATCTCAATGCTTCTTATATCATGGAAATACTATTTTGTGATTGAGAACTAGGGATGGAAGAAAAGGAGGAACATACTTTGACCCTGCAGACATAGTTGGACAGGTAGATGCCGTGCAGAATTCAGTGAGAGTGCCATAAAGAAGGTTCACTTGATTAAAAAAATCAACAGCTGCAGAAAGGATAGCAAATGCTAAGAAGATTTCAAAAAATATATATGTTTCATCCTGTATCCAAATTAAGATATGCAAGATAATGATTATGACAGAACATCGACAAGATATGCACATACTTTTTACTTACTATTACTAACAGGATTTAGGAAGCAGACAGTCTCACTCAATGAACTAAAATGATTGTTCCGAGAATAAAAACATGGATGAGACAGCAATGATTGCTCGGCGACAAAAACAAGTTTATCAATAAGAATCAAATTGATTTGTGACAGGCAACCTCCTTATGGATGGAGGATATCATAAAGATAGCATCATATGCCAGCATGATATTAACTAATTTATCAATTTGATACGTGACATTGGATTTCAGTTTTAACTAAATTGGCATAAGCTCTGTGACTCCCAGGCTACAGCACATAATGACAACCAATATATATTATCTGTGTCAATTTTTGAAATATTTGAGCATATACCATAAATTGATGTGATTCAATAAGGCATCAACTTACTGTTGGATTATGGATTTAGCACTTTCATAATATCTTTAAAAACATATTAAAAAAAAAAAAAAAAACCTTATAAGCTAAAAAAATTTTAATTAAAGAGTTGGGCAATGACAGACAATTACTTATTACAGTATGCAGTGAATGCAACTTACTTTTAATCCAAATAGTGATGCAATCCATTCATCTTTTGATAACACAGATTAACTATGTTATCAAACTAAAGCTGTTTATTCAGTCTTTGGACTCTAGTATCTCACTTTCCTTACTGCATACTAGATAAATCCGTAATAGCTACAGTTTTCAGTTAGTGCACCTGTATTTGTTCTGGTTTCTCGTGTGGAACCATAGAAGGAATTCAATCACTACTAATTGTTATACGCCGTTTTTCGAAATTCAAAATATGTATCAATACAATTTGTATCAACAGACACCATATATGGTTCACTGCAATGCTAGAAGCATACATGAAGATGAATTTGATATGGTTCTAATGAAGCTTTCTTTCAAATAAAACATTAAGGCAGAAAATGAAAATCTTACTATTCACTGCTAGCCACTCATTAAGATCTTCCCCTGGGGGTAATCGAACAGCTTCCCTTAAGTTTCCACTACCCAAGGTAGCATCAATGTGCTTCTGAAGCTGCAAACCCTGCATCATTCAACAGCCTATTATTTCTGCTATAATTAATAAGAAACTACACACAATTGATCGATAGGCATGTTGATTTGAGCTTCAAATTCCAAACTAAAGCAGAAAGAGACAAAAACAACACATGACAAAAGAATAGTCTTCTCTATTTTTTAAACTGAAAATGGTGAAAATTATCAACCTTGCTACCGGATGGAGCACTCTTCTTAGGACGAAATGTTTTCTGGTTTCTGCAAACAATCACGTCACGGAAAATTAGCATGAATTGAAATAATCTAAATGAATAAATAAAAATCCATAAACAACAACCCACTGTCCCCCCTCCCCCGAACACCTTATATTCGAAAAATAACGGAACTTGCATCATACAATCAATATCTTTTTCGGGTGAAAAATGAAATATGAATTGACTCAAAACTTAAAATTTCTGAACTTCAATATGCTACAATCAATTCCCATCAGTATACAGATAGCCTAAATCGGGATTTGCTCTTTTAGAATTCTAAACCATACACTGAAACTTTAATTGAAGTAAACGAGAACTAGAAACCAAATAACTACTAAATTCATCAGAATCAGCAGAACCCTGATTAAATTAAACATAAGAATCTTCAAAATCAAGAATTTGAATACCCGGGGTCATATATAATCAAGAAAATTAATATGAAATGATATATAAATACCTGCTTCCAAGCCCCAAGAGACTCATGTTTATTGAAAGTTATCAGAATTTGAATAAAACCTCCTAATTCTTGTAGCGGGGAAAAATCTTCCAACACTAAATAAACACTATTTTTCAGGGTTTTGCATGTTTGCTTATGTATGTGTGTATATAGAGAGAGAGAGGCCATATGACAGACTGGCAATGAAGAGGTAAAGCAGGACACAACGACCCCTTCTCTTTCTATACATAATACATACATACATAGATATATATGATTCTCTCTCTATAAGTATACAGTGTATATATAGCTGTGTGCAATGTGTAAGCACCGGCCAAAACCAGCCAAGTTGTCTGCCATTGCTATCCCACCTGGCTGATTCTCTGCTGACTGAATCACTCTGTATTTATAATCTGGTAATGTACTAATTTCCAATATTTTTTGTACTTCAAAAATAAGGAATTGTTTGTATGTTATATTTTACTCATGTTTGGTACGAATTAAAATCTTTAAATTAAAGTCAAACAATCAATATTAACCACATGTTTATGGTTTCAAAACTTTTCAATCACATATTATAATAACTTCTATCACAATCTACTAAAAAATATAATTTTTAATCTCCTCCAAACACCTTTTTTATATGTAGTTAGGTTTGTTTCAAAGTTTCTTTAAAAAATTAGTTTTCACACAAAAATTAAAATAGCTTTCTTTCGAAACTTTTCTACAGAGAGCATAAGCAAAAACAGAATCACTCCAAACGAACCCCACAAATTCAATGGAAAAATTAGAATGATTGTTCGATTATCTCTTGCTTGATATTTAATGAATTCTTTTTATGGAAATTCCATGAAATCTTTTAGGTTCAGAATGAGTTGAAGACAAGAGGTGAAATAAAGTGTCACAGAAAATGGAATTTGGGATCTAACATTAAACGAGGTGAAGAAAAATTCAAATGGTCATTAAAAATTATCTATCAAAAAGTTGGAACCATCAACAGAATAATTTTATCTTTGACTAAATTAAGAATTGCATCTCTCATCTTTTAATGACAACAAATATTTTTACATATCTTTTGGTACCCAATGATTACTAAATTAGTAAACTATAACTCTAGATAATTTTAAAACATTATGGTTACTTTAATTTTAATGATTAGTTGGTATGACATTTAAAAGAGTAATCTATTTCATTAATTTATAAAAAAGAATTATATGGTCATATTAAATCCTCTATAATAATCTTAAAGTAGCTTTTACCCCCAAGAAGATATTATTATCACTTTAATCCCAATTACTAAAATGAAATAATCAACCTTATGGCATCATTATTATAAGGTGGCTACCAAATCCTATGATTTGTTTTTGTGGGATGTAGTGAGATTTCCTATGTTTGGAGGTGGGCTCCTGATTTCAATTAGCTGTATATGGAAAGGTGTGTAATGATATACTAGAAAATACAAGCAATTAATTTCCAATTTTGGTCCATTGTTAGATAGACGTCTAGATTTATCAATTTTTTTTTTTTTTTTTACAACATTATTTGCTAGAATAATGCATATCTAGTATTGTTGATACTACATCATCAGTTTAGATGATAATCCGTGATACGTTCAATTAAATATAAAATTATGTTATTCGTTTAAGTATGTCTCTCATTTATTGCTACTTAGAGTCATTTACATTGTTGCAATGCCAGTGATATTAAACAATATTACTTTATTTGCTAAATTATTCACCACGAAATGGATAAGATGTTGTCTTTAAAGAAAAAGGGAAGCGAAAAGAATTCGGATTTTTTGCTATATTAGGTTTATACATTTATAGCTCATGTCGTGCTATTTGATAGTTCAACTCTCTTGACTCGAGTTGTCGGCTTCTAACTTGACATTATTGGATGTTTGATCTTACACATATGGACGTAACATTGATGACTTATGCTTGATTTGGATTGTTGTATTGAGCGTGGGCCCTCTACTTAGACTTGGATCGAGAGATGAGTCAAGTCGTCATGTATTATTCATCGGTGCTTCTACACTATGCAACATTAGATTAATTGTAACATTTGCTTGTTAAGTTTGCCATGACACATGACTACAATGAAAAATTAAATGGAAAAGGAAAGAATGAAATAACCTACCCCCTTTGCTTTTCTTTTCTTTCTCTTTCATTGTTTATATATTCATTTTAAGTTTTCATTTAATGTGAACCAATGATGCTAGAAAAAGGTTAGGGATAATGCAACCTAAGAAATAGATTGAGAACCAAGTTGTACGAGGATCATAATGTAGAGACCAATAATGCAATTTTCTTTTTTAAGTGACACCAACCTACTTGGGCCGGGCTGCCAATTGACCTCTTTAAAAGAAGGGTAATTATACTGTCACTACAAAATTTACTTACTACACCACATTATAATCACACCACATTTAAAATATATTTTTAATAAATACACCACAATAAATTTACAATTACACTCCTAATCTAATAAAAACTTAAAATGAAAAAATTCAGTTTTGTGGTGTCTTCTTCATCTCGATATTACTCCTCATTTTTCTCATCTATAATTTCTTGGTTTTTCTGAAGAATATTGTTATTTATTCTTAGTGGGATTTTAACACTATTACCAGTTTACCACAAATATTTTGCCTTTTTCACAAGTCTGAATCATGCTTTTGTTACTCTGAATCGTGATATAAAATCTACCAATATACACCTAAAGGTCACCAACTTGTTGGTAGGAATCAAATGCTAGGGATCTGAAATAATTATCACGGAATAATACTTAGATTAGTTAGATATTTTAAGAATTTCTATCATTGCTTTGAAGAAAAAAAGAATGTATCAACCAGCAGATTGATTATTGAATTCAAGAAATTTCCAGTTTTCATTGAATTTAAGAATCGTAAATTCAATAAGAAACCAGCAGCGGATTTGACAGATTTACAAAAATTAAATAATCAAATGGTTGACACATTCCAATGTTTACACAATTAAGTGCAATCAGAAGCAAAATAAAATTCCTATAACAAATTTAATAAGATAGATATTGTATAAGAAGAAGAAAATTAGGTTTATATATAATTATTTTAGAACAATAAATTACTTTATGTGATAAATATATTAAAACCTATTTACGTAATTTTATTTTAGGCTATTTAAGTAAATAAAAAAATGCTTAAAATTGTCGTGTACCTAACAAATTTAAATTTCGTAGTTGTAATATATAATTACCCTTAAAAGAATGACTCTCGATTGTTTTTCTTTCCTATTAGGAAATATATATTTCTCTATAAATACCTCCAAAATCCTCATTTCATTTCCACAAATTCTTAGTTCAACTTTCACGAACTCTATGATTTTATTTTTTTCTTAATCCTTCTTTGGTTTTGATCTTTTCAAAATCCCTTTATTCAAACTCGTTTTTAACTATTCATTCTCTCAAAAAAATAATAACAAGTAAATTCATAACTTTTTCATACTTTTTAAGCACAGATTCTAAAAAATCATTTCTCAAAAAATAAAAATGAAACAAGACAAATCAGTTTTCGTCATCTACCAGAGAATATATTAACTTCTTAAATGTGAGAGTGCAGTATCATGCTTATAGTAGGACGTACATACTCTAATAATGCTCAGATGAAATTATTAGACAATTTTTAGAGATGAATAGTATTGACTCTCACGTTATGTTTGATTTAAATTAATGTGTAACTTTGATTGAATAAGAAAAAGTATTTTTATTAACTTTTAATTTTACACGGATGCAAACTATAAACAGAATTTATTTTGACAATTAGACTTCTCCTGCAGGAGAAATATTGCATTAGAAACAAAAACGAGATAGACATGATAAACTCTCAATAATCGTACTTTCGCTAAAAGCAAATCAAGAAACAAGAAATTTGACAGGCTCTAGAAAAACCCAAAATTTAACACACAAAATACAATAAATAAGATTGACACAAAACTAACAAAACTAAGTTACAATGCTATTGTCCCAACAAATGACATATAATCATTAGTTAGTGCCACCTGGAACAGCCTTTAGCTTCTTTATTTGAGCAATGTCAAGGAAACTTGTCTTAGCCCGCAATTCAGTTGCCAAATTACTTTTGAAGATCGCAAAATCTGTGATTTGAAGACCTGGAAAAGGACTGCTAAAGGAAGAACTTAAAAGTGAGAAAAAGAAGATTGTTGCTTAAAGGAAGAAACTTGCATTTCACTTGTGATTTTCCAACCTAGAGAGACTCCTATTTATACCAATGGAGGAAAAGCTAGCTCATTAATCAAGGAGTTAAACCATTTATTAATGAAGGAGTTAAAAACATGAAGGGACTTGAGTTACTTGAATTACAATATATGAAGAAACTTCTATTCAATTTTTCATCGGTAAAGGAGTTAAAAACATAAAAAGACTTGAATTACTTGAGTTAACATATGAAGAGACTTCTATTCAATATTTTTCATTCAACAAATCAAACCGAAGGCCTGTGTATTCACAGTTTCCTTAAATCAAATTTGCCGCCTCACCAGAGTGCAAGAGGTTTTGATTGATGTTCGATTCCCAGAATACAATCGGTTGTCGGTTCTCGCTGCATTACATTAACCGCCTGCGAACTAGCTGTGATATAATCTATCTCACAAAGAAATTATAAGCATAAGAAAGAACTTGAAAGTGAGAAAAAGAAAATTGTCGCTTAGAGGATGAAGCTTGCATTTCACTTGTAATTTTCCAATCTAGAGAGACTCCTATTTATACCAATGGAGGAAAATCTAACTCATTAATCAAGGAGTTAAACCATTTATTGATAAAGGAGTTAAAAACATGAAGGAACTTGAGTTACAACATATGAAGAGACTTCTATTCAATATTTCATTGATAAAGGACTTAAAACACATGAAGTGATTTGAGTTACTTGAATTACAACATATGAAGAGACTTCTATTTAATATTTTTCATTACTTCTATTCAATATTTTTCATTCAATTCTAACATATAGGTTGTTGATAATGGTTCTTTACATTTATAGACTGCAAAATAGATATTTTTAGACCAAAACTATTGAAATTGTTTAGAGATTTTGTCCAGGCCATGCATACTATGGGAGAAACGACAGATTCTAGGCTGTGCTGCACATCAGAAAAAAACGAAAATTCTCTTTTTCTTTGAAAAAAGGTGAATTAATTAAGAAGCATATTCTTTGAAAAAGATAGAATTCCAATTAAAGAGGATGGAAATTTTGGTTCGGTTATTGTTGACAAATTAGCATCCCTAGAATATATACACTTATAAGTACATTTTGAAGCTAAAGTCTCATAATTCATTAAGAATCTATTATGAAAACTGTGCATGTGCCATATATATTGATGAAA